AGAGAGAGAGAGAGAGAGAGAGAGAGAGAGAGAGAAGAATCAGGAGACTCCAGATAGATTTTGCAGATTAAAAGAACAGAAGCAACCATTATGTGGAGATCAGTTGATATCCACTTGTGATTGGATCCCTCAGGACAGATCTTAAGACCGGGTGTGAATGGGGTCCTACACACACGTACATATATTCCTTTTCCTTACCCTGTAAAAGGCTGTTGACAGGGGCAGCAGTGCAGCAGCCATTGTGAACTCCTCTGAGCTGGAGCAGTCCTGTGGGCCGAACACAGAGAAGAGTGAGCAGGGCAGAACACAGCAGGAGACATGTTACACAGCTCTATGATCACCTTTTACATGGAGCCCCTACAGGAGCAAGGCTGGTGTCCGACAGAGAGGTCACAAACACACTCATTCTCACACACACGCGCAGGCACGCACATGCACGCACGCACATGCACGCACGCACATGCACGCACATGCACGCACGTAGAAACTTAAAGGAAAACCATTATTCTCATTATACTGAAATAATGAATGCATGTATTCTGAAATGAGAAACTCTAAGAACAAACTGTACATGACTGACGACCTTCTGTAGATCGGCAGTGCAGCGATGTGAAATGGGGGCGAACAATGGGGGGTGAACAAACATAACTTCCTGTTATATAAAGACACTGTGTCTTGTTAAATGTCCTTGTGATGCTCAAATAAAAACATATCTGTAGAAACCACTCTTTTTGGACATATGCTTTCAATAGCCTTATATAATCCCTGCCCTGACACAATTGTCAGAGCATTCCAGTCTAATTTTTATCGGTCACTTTTATGTTTTGAATTCCTCGTTCCATCATATGACGTTGCATAAAATCGGCTTTTCTGGCCACAGAATGCTCTGTTATCAAACAGCCTGAAAAATTATTATTTTTCCCCAAGTTAAAATCAGTAAATAGCTGAAAACCTAACCTCCTTGCGTCGACGCACCACGCCAACGTGTCTTTGTATTTGGAATTGTTTCAAGTCAAGAGGCGGAGCTTGATGGTGCTCTCAAGAGAATTGTATTAAGATGAATGGTACATTAAGAGGCTTAGAGCCGGCCGGGGGACTTAGGGGCCCAAACTAAATTTTTCCTCCAGAGATCACAGAGAATAAGAGAAAGGACGCGAGCTGGACTTAAAAGTACTTCATTCTCAGGAAATTGGTACTTAACTCTGGTGAGCTTTTCAGGGATTACGTTTTTGAACCCTGTAAATGAGAATGGCCAGAGGTAACTTGATTTAAGACTGTACAAACAACAGCACTGATTCTGACATGGTGCAGCACCTCAGAACCCTCAGTGGGACCTCATGGAGAGAAACTGTGTATTTCACAAACATTTCCTTTCTTCCTTTTCTTTTAATAAATTTTCTCTTTCCAAGAAAATCTTGACTTATGGTTGAGTTTTTCTTCACACTATCAGTGTTTAATTTTGGAGGGAGAGATAAGGAGAAGAATGCAGCACTTTCTGATAGCGGTCTGCACTGGGGGGGCCTCTATTACTGCCATTCCTTGGAAAAAAAAAAAATAAAAAAAAAAAAAGAGGGAGAAAATGCAAAACACAAGTTCCACATGAAAGCCTGGCCCCCCCGTCGACCGAGCAACATAGTTTCTATTTTATTTTTCTTGTCGCTTGTGTTTTTCTTTGCAGTTATTTGGGCTGCGGTGAAATGTTCCAGCCTGGAGCGGCACCAACGCATTGTTTACCAGCCGGACCTAACAATGCAGCAGGTCGCAGGAGTTCATGGACCGCAGACAAAATAGAACAACAAGTGGAAATTGCAAATGCAAGAAAAAAAAAGTGTGAGTATCTAACAAACCGGCATCACACCAACGTCACGAGTGAAGTACAGTAATGCATGTAGTCAGGTTGTTGGAACAGCAAAATATGACAGTCGTTTTCTGCACTGAAAAGAGCTGTTGCTACAGATGAAGAACACGTCACATGCTTATTTCAACACATCGTATCTCAGGTAAAGTGACATTATCAGGTTTACTTAAGCCCCACTTATTATCACCTGCAAACCTCTAGCTTAATCTCCTGTAAGCAGACAGAGAGGCTTAGTGACAGCTCAAAAGCTTCAGGGGTCAACTAACAAAGAGAACTGATAAGAACTGAAATCTGGAGCAGGTCTGGGATTAGACTGAATAAAAAGTCTGTAGCCGATCAAAGGTGAGGGCGTCGTACTTTAGCAGTCGATCATTGGGATCGAGCAGAAACTGATCCACATGGTGCAGGGTGGAGATTAATGTTCCCTTATTTAGGATTTCTAGAATGGAGGGATGGTAGGTTGTTGCAAACCCCTGCTCTTGTTTGCACGGACACCTTGTCGTCTTCCTTTCCTCCCATTATCTACTGTATGCCCAAACTTTTCTTTCCCTCATTCTTGAGGCGGCAGGAGCTGCGATGGTCTGTGATGACTAACACAGCCGCTCTGTGTCAGACACGTATGCAGCGGGCGAAAACAAGAAGCCTGAACATGTGACACACAAACGCTGGAGGATGTGAACAAACAAGAGCTTCCTGTGCGCTTTCCAGGAAAACTGTGCAAAGAGCTGCCACGGACGAGTGGTTATGGACTTAGAAAAACAAAACCGTTACAGTTAATTGCAGCTATAGAAAGAGGAATAGGCTGCATATTAGACCTCTGTGATGTCAAGATGAGCAACAAACAGATTTTTCACAGTCAAAGCATGAAATCTGATTAACGCAGATGTTTACCTGGACATACAGATGCACGTACATCCTAGAGAATCTAGGATCTCTTATCTGACCATGGGAATGATACTGAGTGCAGATTCCCAGTGACCATATTACGTAAAGGGAATCCATCAGGAAGATCAAGGCTGACAGGGGCCATGTTCTCACAGCAAAAACTAATTTACGATCTAAATAATATAAAAATGTAATAAAGTCATGTATTCACTATTAAAGGAGATGTGCCCAGTGATTGAACTCCAGCAGGCCGCCCTCAGGCTCAAGCTGGGACATGGGCTCAAGCTGGTAGGGGCTCTCGTCCATCAGCTCAGACGGGACAGTCACATTATGTGCCTTGTACTTTTCCAGCGTTTCCGTATCCTGCAGCCACGGCACATGAATGTTCCAGATCAGACGATAGAGCTCTGGATCATGCAGAACGCATAGACTTTATGCCGTTGCGGCCACTTCCCATGGACCTCCCGCCCCGTTCCCCCTTTCCTCGCAGTGAACTGCCATTCAGTGTGTTTTTGAGCACCATCATGAGGCCCTCGGCCCTGAGAGCAGAGCACAGAGGGCTCATAATCCTATCTGACAGGAAATGGTTGGGATGCCAGGATACATCCACAGCAGGGCTCGTTCCCCCACATGGCTTGCGCAACGTCTACTTCTAAAATTGGGAGCACCCCACACCCACACACACGCACACACCCACACACACAGGCACACACATATGCAATTAACTGAAATGCTCTAATGATTGCTGTTACTGTGCATAGCAGAGGACAGATAAGGATTACAACAGATGTTTGAACAGGAAAAAATGTGTCAGTGTAAACTTTTGGTCCATGTTAACTCAGTCCAGAGACTGTCTCGACATTGTTTTGTGAATTACAAAAAATGTGAAGAATGAAAAACAAATGAACAATCACTGACACGGCACAGTACCATCTGACTCCAATGTCCTAACCTTTCAACTATTGCACAGTTTCTGTACCAGTTCCTTTGACTCGGCTCGCCTGCAAAACCTTTTTCACAAGAAAACACTGATTGCAACCAGACAACAGATATGTCATTCAGCCTGAAGTTGACATTCAACAAACAATAAATGTTGTAACTGGCCTCTTATTGATGATGTCATTGCAAATCAATGTGTCACATCAACATGTATTCCAGAAATCCAAATGAGGTATGATGCTGTCATTGGACAAAGAGCGAGCAGCATTTTTTACAGAATAGGTCACTTTGGCTTTGTTAGGCACTGAAGGATCTCTAACACGCACACACACCCAAACACACACACTTCTGCAATCCCTGTGTTAATATCGTTCCGGGGCTCTTATGTGGCCAGGCGTAGAAAGAAAGGGCAGAGTGCAGTGTATGAAAGTAATTACTGGCCATGCAATTTACTATTTATATTCCTTTCACAGCTTGTCGGAGACAAATCCCTCACAAGTCAATTGAGACTAAGAAATGAAAGCCAGGAACAACTGGTCGCCTTTCATGTTTAAGCAAGAGAAAAAAAAAAGACAAACAATACACAATAAAATCTAAAAAAAAGACAAATGAGAGAAAGGCTGACTATGTCGTACCCCATGCTGCAGTTAACTAAAGTGCACTCCACATCAAGTCACTTCTCCATCTGTGAAATGACTGCTTCTCTCCCCATGTGTGGCTGCGGGTGATTGGTTTTTCAGCAGCGGGCCAGAGGAGACAAGTCAAATTAGTCTTTAAAACTCACTTGGAGACTTCTGTGGTAAAATACATCAATATGGTAATAATATAGATAGTATAGTTTATATTAAAGGTGAGGCCTCTTTTGCATTCTCTTATCATGAACAGCTTGTGTTGCAAACAGTAGATAGTGTACAGACTACATCTGCATATTTCCAGATGTGCAAGACAATTACTTCGATAAAAGAAGAGCTGTACCACTCCGCTAGACTCATCCATTCCATATTCATCTCCTCAGTGCATTCTGCAGGGGTTCACTCTATTGATCATCATTTTGTTAAAAAATATCTCCTTCTTTGAAACAACTGAAAAAAAACCACCCTGATCACGCATTGGTTCCAACAAAAGCTGACAAATCAGGATCTCATTTCAGTACAAAAAAGACTGCCTGGCTATCAGATAGCCCCACAACAATTGTATATCAAAACAGCATGCAGCTTCACATCAATTCAGACTTGAATATAACTCCTGACTAAAGAGGTCATGCAGAAGAGAGATTGGTGGCTTTTTGGCTTTTCAACCGATGCACATCACTGACAAACTACTCATTGTTCATCTCTGCTCCTGGAATGGAAGATTACAACAAGCTTACTATTTCACGTCACCCTGCTTACGTAGTGAGGCATAAATTACTTTAATAAATTTACGTTTCAGTAGACATTTTATTGGCCAAAGTCATGAAAGATGCACTTAAGTTCATTTTGACGTGTTGTGTAATTGTGGACATGTCAAATATCACGTCAGATGACCTTGCATGTCCCTGGCCAGCGCAGAATGTGGGATTAATTGTTTTTTATCATTTGGGGGAAAAAAAAGAAAAAAAAAGAATGACTGGAATTCAAAGTCGCTCCATAAAAGTTGCACTCTGTGAGGACTCCTTCAAATATTTTAAATCCATGGAAGGGGGCTGATTCAGGGCAGTAAAACTTGAGGAACTACCAATAAAGACCTGGCTGCTCGGGCTGAGTGAAGCCTCACTGACTCTTTATGAGCTGCACAAAAACACATTACTTACTAACTCTGACAAGTAGTTGAGGCAAGAGGGCACCAGAAAAGAGACAGAGACACTTTCTGATGAGCAACATTGTCGAGACGCGCTGACATGCTGCCAGGTTGATTTAAACAAATACAAACTTGAGAATACAGGGGTAAAAAATGTGGACGAGAGAGGGTCGGCTTGTGCTTCTTAGGTTATGTGCACTACTGCCCCACTTAAACATCGCTATTTGCTAAATTAGAACCAGTTACTGCTTGTAAAAAAGGGCATCTGTTGAAAATGTGGGGTAGAGGGCTAAAACATTTGCATATTAAGGTAGACACGCACTACTGTACAGTGAACTATGGCATAATTTCTAGATAGTTTTTGGGTCAAATTAAATAAAAATGTTTAGATGTTATAAATTGATTTGTATGATCAGTTTTGGTCACGTGTGTCGAGGAAGCCTGAGAGAAAGATATCTGCAGACCCTGACCCTTTATTGCAGTTTGGGTAAGCTTGCTGGGATAGTACAATAATAATTTTGTTTGGAGCAGAATAAAATAAATTAAAATAAAATAAAATGTTTAAATCACAATCAAAATGTTTAATAATCTGGTTTATCAGCAGATCGAAAAAATATCAATATCATTCAACGGTAAAAACACATGTAGATATAATTTTGACAACATGCACAGTTTCTCATGTATAATGCAATTTCAATGGATGTTACTTTATGTGATGATGTAGTTTTCTCCCCAATATTTTCTTTGACAGTAGCTTTTGATGAAGAGTCTGAAAACCAATCAGTGTGATGTAGTTCCCTCAGTGTTGAATGTAATACTATGTATTATTATTATTATTATTATTACTATTATTAAACAAATATGAAACAATTTGATTTTTCAGGCAACCAAATGTCAAATATAACTCACAATCTGAGCCAATCTAAAATTAATGTTCAGTAAATTAAGATTACATCAATATATTGAACAAAAAAATACATTTAAAAAAATGATGTTGCTTCCTTTGCTGCATGGACTCTTTTTTAGTATGGATGCAAAAGGTGTGTCTGCAACTTGTGTTGACATGTCTGTCTGTTCCTTACCTGGAGGGCGCAGTTGATCATACGAATGATGTAGTCAAACTGTTGGTGGTCCAGTATGGCACGGTTCTGCTGCACATGAAGACTCAGTTCTTCAGTCACACACTGGCGAGCCGCTTTGCCTTTCAGTGCACGCAGTGCAGCCGGCAGCGTCTATTAAGAAAAACGCAGACATGGAGGGTTTTAACAAAAGAAGAAAATACTTTTAAATAAAACGAGGCAATCAACAATTTGTGATTGATAAAAAAATGGAAAACACATTGAGACCTTGTGCACACTGTATGTACCCAAATCAGGCTAATTCTTTATACTGTAATAATACCATTTCATAATGATGTCATCATGATGATGCAAAAGTCAATGCATTAGACCATGGGACATCATTTTTCTGATTTCACAGTGATTAGCATATGATCAAAACATTTTTTAAATCTTTATAAGCTTTAGGTCCTGTCTATAGTTGATGCAGAGATACCTGGAAAATGCATTTTTAAATATGTATATGTATGTACGAGGGCATATAATTTTGTGAATTCATTGTCACCTCTTCATGGCATCACTTACCATAAGATAGATTGTGTTGTCTCTCCCTTTTTGCTGAGATATGCACGTGGTAAAAGTGTTTTTTAGATCATGTTTTTGTTGATCTCAACTTCTAATCATTGAACGACAAGTTAATCATGTGGCGATAAAAAGCAAATCTTTTATTTTGCTGTGTATTCACTGCTCACAACAACACTATGTACCAACACAGTCCCACCAGCTGCAGAATCAACATGTTGTGTTGCTAATGGTCTTCAGTCTGATGTTTGGGCAATGAGGGATTTACAGGCTCACAGGGCGTTCAGAGGTCGCATGCTATGGATTCTTACATTTGGACACAAATGCAGGCCTGGATTATATAAATCCTACACATAGCCAATGGGATACATAAATCAAATGGCAACCATCCCACTTTAAACATACTGGATGCATATTGGGGAGAGTGTTCACCTATGACTTCACTTACGTGGGGCCACAATAAAGGAAAAACTGGAGCAGACATTTTTGTGTAACACATATGCTTTTTGGAGGAAAATCCATGAGACAGGAGTTATTGCTCAGCAAAGTTAGCAATATAACGACATGGATTCGGAGAGTGTTTTGGCATCGGCTCTAACCATCTCTGTACGGGAGTGTGTGTGTCAGCTGGGAGATATTAGGATGATACGGTGAGGACAGAGCGGCTCTCTGCAGCTCTAAAGCTGCCTGCTGGAGTGGTGCAACACAAAGAGCAGATGCCTGCAGTTCATGAGCTTGTTTAGAGGCTGATTAGCTCCACTGATGAAAGACATTGTTTATTACCTTTTCAGTCTCCAGGGTCTTGTTGTCAAAGATGAAGGAGATGCAGCTCCGCACAACCTCCAGCCTGCGTGCACTGTTAAACACGGAACCACTCTTACCCATAATAGACACTGGAACACAGAAAACACAGGACAGGAGGGGAATTACTGCAGACTGCATATAACAGAGTTTTTGTAGAAGTCACAGGCACATTTTATACCCAAACAAAACACCCACAGGTATGTTATGACTTTAAGTAATATTCATATTGTTGCAAACGCAGAGGGGCTGTTACGTTTTGTAACATGCCAGCAGTTTAAAAGTTGGCCCTACCGACGCCAGGCCCCGCAGGTACAACGCACTTCCTCTCAGGCCGTACAGAAGCAGGTGCGCTGCTGTGTTTAGCCACACCCTCCTGCACCATCTTCTCCACCTTTTCGTCAGCCAGGGGGGGGAAGGGTACCTGGTGCACTCGTAGATGGGATCCCTCTGACGGCCGAGGCACTTTCTGGAATGCCATGTGGGGGTTCGGATTCTCCTAGAGTACATCGACCAGGGGCAAACATGCATTAATAGGATGCATAGCTGTAAATATTGAGGCTATAACGCAAAACACGTGTAGTGCGTGTTGCAGAGCTTTGCATGCAGACTTACGTTTCTGTACAGCTGCTCCGACAGTTCCCTGATGTGCTTCTGCAGCTTGGTAGGGCTGACCTCTTCATCCTTAAAGCTGTCAATGCCTGAGGCCACCAGCTAGAAAACATCAAAACAGTGAAATATGCTGTTACATGGGTGCATCATCATCTGCATCATCATCTGCATCATCATCATCATAATCATCATCATGTAGAACACAGCCCAAGGTTTTACTGATGACTAGTGTGCAAATGTCCACAGGACGGATGACTGAACCACAATACTCTAACCCCCACCCGGCTGCAGGCACAGCTTATTATATTTACGAATGTAATAAAACAAATTTTCCATTTTACAATCAACACTGTAACACCTGTAAATTGCAACACCTGCGTTTGTTTGTTAGTTAGCAGCATTACACACAAAAAAACACTAAATGGATTTCCTCCCAAACTTGGATGGGATAGTGATCAAGAAAGAAACAATAACATTTTAGTGCAGATCTGGATCAGGGGACAAGTCCAGGATTTCTTTTTCACTTTCTTTCACATTGCAGATTGCGTTTTTCATGTTTGTTAATTTCTCAGACTTCATTCATATTCAGGGGGTTGGTTTTGAGTTTGTTTCCAGCAGATCCAATTAAAAATCTGGATCTATTGGATTTAAATGTGGTTTCATAGGGGTGTAGGATTTTGTCAGCCACTGTATGGTGATAAATAAGGTGAGAAACCTGTAAATATCACCAAAGTGTAGCTGTGAAACCTAATGTGGCCTTAGCTATAAGGCTTGTTCTAATTTAAGGGGACTGGCGGTGAAGGTATTTTGGTTCTGTTTAAAGTTAGATTAAGCTGTATATTTGGAATCATTGCACATTGTATCTATTTCATTGTCTTTAAACTACATGACTACTTTGGTCTCACCATCACAATAACACCTCTGATTAAAACTATTTTGTAATTTGCTCATGATGATCATTACACCTCTGATTATAACCAACACTGACCTTATTGATTAGTTAATAACCAGTTCACTGGATGATCATGAACAGTTTGACCGTATGTGACAAGACAACAATAAAAATAGTTTCTTATCCACTTAAGAGTAAGACAACGTCTGTGTATGAAGTCCCCCACTTTAAGAGTGAAGGTTATTGAGCGTCGTGGTACCGTACCTCATCAAACAGATCACAGCCTCTGTAAGGCGGACCTCTCTCTGAGACGAAGCCAGCGAAGGCCATGCCATCCAAAACCTTGGTCAGGAAATCGTTCTCAATGAGGCCTCGCTGGCCCAGGAAGGCAGTCTGGATAATGTCAGAATTAGAGCAGTTACAATCGCACACAGGTGGGAGCAATGTAATCCTGTTCATATGGATATACTGTCGACTGAAAAACAAGCACAGTGATTATAGACATTTTTAGAGTAGGATTACAAAGGTTTCTCTGTGAGGGGGGCTGACAATGGCCTCTTTTCATGCTGTAATCTTTGATTCTACAGCATATAGAAAAAGGGATAGAAATCTTGCCATTATTGACCATGTGCAAATTCATTTACTTTACGCATAATTATTTGTGCTTGTGTGGAGAGGAGATAAAGCACAGTTCACTCAGGCTGCCTCCAGTCAGCAATTCCAGGCAACTAAGCTGAGCGTTTGTTTATAATGTGATCCATGTGGGGTACTTTGAGGATGATGTGCTGTGGAGTAACCACGGAGACACTAACAGACATGAACAAACAAAATCCCTGGCACAAAACAAAAATGTGGACCTAATGTGTTTCATGTAGCTCATCGCCGGGCCATGCTCACAGTTACAGGACTGCGTCCGAAACTAGCATAAACAAAGGCAGAGCCTCACAGCGCCTCTACAACACGTGGAAAACAACATGTACACTCACATACTCTCTATACATCCCTGACAGGTTTATCTGTTTGGTATTTAACTCCACACTCACTGCTGGACTCAAACATTCTTGGGAGATTTACAGCACAATGTGTTTGATGAGGAGAGTTTAATCTGAGGTCACATGTTGGAAAATTAGGTTTTTGCTAAGTCTCACTTTCGACAGTGCGGATTGTGCTATGTTGTAATCTTACCTTGTGAAAATGAATAACAGGCTCAGAATGGATGCGGATGAGCTGCAGGCAAGACCTGTAGCCCTGGAAGAGTTGTGCAAACAGCCTGAGAAAGACGGCCCTCACCTCCTTATCCTGGAACACACATGCACATACACACACATATGTATGCAGATATTAGTCATCAAACAGCTATGCCACAATTGCAGTCTAATGAGTAAATTATGCAACATAGATGTTATTTGTCTTGGGGGTAATGGGTTACAATCAGTCAGTGAATGTAACCTTGTAGCGATAAGATATTTTGTTTGATGATACTTAACATGTTTTCCTTGTGTGTGGGAGGAAGAGGAGGAGGACAAGGAGAAGGAGGAAGAAGTGATGCTGACTTACCAACAACTTGAGGTTGGAGGGTGCAGTGCGAGGAGGAGGGAAGGCATTGTCTGCTATCTCCAGATCAGGGTGCAAAACCTGAGAAAATACATTTATTTCCCTGTAATTTGATTTATTTCCACATCACATAAATGCAACGGCAAGGGTGTCACATGATTCAGATAAGACCACAAAAACAAGAACATAAATTTAACCAGCAGTCGTGGGGATTAATATCTTTGTCTGTAGATCTACATAAATGTACTGTGGCTACACAAGGACATACTTTTTAAAGTTGCTCACTTCTAATGCAGTCATATTATAGTGTCTGTGTTAATACGTGTGTGCCATGTGTGAGTGTGTGTCTGTGTTTACCAGGGACAGGGAAGTTTGGGTTTGGTGTAGCAGAGGTTCAGGGAGCAGGGACAAGTGGATGCACTCAGGAATCTTTATTGTTCCTCCATCCAGGTCAGCAATAATAACATCCAACTGGTAAATAGACACAGAACAGCGAAAGGTCAGGTGGTCTGATTGCAGATGGAGGCCGTACAGTGTGGTGCAACATGTTTGCCAAAACCAACTAAATAAAGATCCTGTTTAAAGTTGGATTATTCAATCCTCATGTGTAAAAACTTCAAATTCTTCCTCGTCAGAAGGAAAAACAAATCCTAAAATGCCATGATGCATCATCATCATCATTTCTATCAAAATAGACTCTAAAATGCTCAATTATTTCTTAATAATATACATGTGTTTGGAAGTACAATTTATGATCTATGAGTTCTGCACACAATTTAGAGAGATTGCTGGATGCCTGTGAGGTGTTTGTACTCACCAGATCTTGGATTTCAGTCTGAAACATGGAGTGCACGCCGATGATGAAGGGAGTGGGTGAGCTCAGGACCTCCAGCAGCCGCGATGGTAGAATAGGGATGTATGGGTAACTAAACACATGAGGACATAATGATGAATACACAGAATATGTTCAGGTATGTTAGGAAGAGAGAGAGGTGAGAATTAAACCGATTACAAGCTTAAGGACTTTCACATCTATCTAATAATTCCAGAAATCATTGTCTGTCTCTCTGTGGCTTACATATCTTGAGAACCCTTCGTCTTTCTGTTTTCAAGTGCATCGTTAAGGGCCCAAGGAAGTGCAGTGTCGAATTTGGTGCAGAGATGCATTTATGTATATTAATAAAATATGAAAAAAAAAGGTGACCGGCAGGTTTAGAATGGGCTGCACTATTTGTATTCAATATTATCAACTAGGGCAGAGCAACATGGATACAATTATTTAAATACTGATAAACTCATGAGAGCGTCTTGTCTCCTTTTAAAGAATATACAGTAAATGTTTGACAAGATGTTGAGGAGCACAATCACTGATGAGTGAATTTCTATTAATATTACTGTGAGGATTTTTCTTCTATTCCTAAAAGTTGCCCATTTACTGTAGCATGGCTCAGTGGAGCTCCGTCTCCTTGTCTCTTGTTTTAATGTCCTCAGATAAAACATTAGAGGATTACAGTGCCGACATTACAGTTTGTGAATGATGAGGTTTACAGCGAAGGCACTCAAGAAGGTGGTGAGCTTAAAATACCTTTAATGTCTCATGGCTATTGAATCGTATCGACATTAAGAATTTATTTCAGCCTGTTGAACAGTTATATGATCTGTGAAGACCTGTCTATACTGATCATGTGACCATTTTGTGCTCATTGATGATGGCCTTAATGGTGTTTTTCTAAAGAGTGACAGTAATGAACTGATTTGTTGCAAACAGGAGAAGAAACTGATCACAGTGCCGATGAAAGCCATCTATAGAAGAAGGGCATTCTTAGAGTGGGTGAGTGGAAAAATCCTTGAAAGTTACCACATGTACAAGGTTAAACAAAGCGTGATCGTAAGTGGACATACTGTAGCTGTTGATTGAGCTGAATACAGTGTTGAACAAAGTTAATCATCAGTCAGATCATCCACAGAAGACATAACAGTGGAAAGTCACATGAGAATCTGTCGTGCTGCCGGGGTCAAACACACACACACTCACTCACCTGTATTTAAGCGGAAACATGAGGGCTTCCAGGGCGCGACTAGCCTCTCCGAGCCGCTGGTAGCTGGTGGAGTGGAACAAAACCTTGTGTTCTGTCAGAACCGCACAAAACAGGCTTAGAACATTTTGGATTCCTGGAATGAGAAAAAAAACCAAGGACAATGAAAATCAACGAGGTATTTGTTGGAATGCGACTGCCACATCGTTCCAGATCATTTATCACTCAGGGCTATTTGCAGAAAGAATTTGTAACCTTGAACACAGATTAGAACAAAACATAACCATTTGGAGGATTTGTAGATTTTTTTTTGTAATTTTGGCAGTGCTGTGCAGAACAACCATATCAGGCATCACATAAATGGTTGTCGTACTACTTAAAGACATACATATATATATATATATAAACTATTCCTTAATGTCAGTTGAAAATGGTAATCTAAAATTAAGGAGCCAAAAAGTTGATCACAACAACTGCAAGCTGTCTACTATTATCTAAAACAACGTAAGCTGCTGGCTCATGAAGACAAAAATAATAATTTTCCACAACCAAATGGGACAGTTTATATTAAACACTGAATGCAAAGCCTATGGGAAAACTCATCTCCGAGAAAACAAAGGAAATTACACACATAGTATAAATAATATTTCAAATACTGATGTGACAATCAGGAAGAATTCTAAGTCTACAGTTCCTGTTATTGTTTCCTATCAAGCGACTGACAGACCGATTCATCACACATCGGAGTGATAAGGAGAGAGGAACACTGGCAGACGTATCCGCACCACTGGGGGCGCTGGGTCTGGATGTTTGGCTGCCTCAGTGGAGCGTTTCAGTGATAAACAGGAAACACGAGCCTCAACAGAATCTGAGACTTGAAGCTAAATGAGCGAGCATCTATACAAACTGAATTAATTCATCTTTTTTAGACATGGTGGATCCAAAGGTCACTTTTTCTATTAAAAGAGACACACAAGACCTTGGTGCCTTGGTCATGTGACCACATCACTGAAGCTCAGGTTGCATAGTCACACCTCAGGTTCAGGTGTTGACTTATCTCCTGGAAACAGCGACACATTTCCGACCCTGAGATAAAAAGGAACAAGCCCCGGACAAAAGCAGCAAACAACAAACAGGCTGATGACGGCCAGTTTTATCTCGCCCCACAGAATGTACTTCCTGTCCCGTGTACATGTTTAACACACATTCCTCTCTGGTGACTCCGGTGAACTGCTCACCCACTGCGATGTGCCGACCTGCCTGTCCACACAACTACTAGCCCGTCCTTATACGGACATGAGGATGACCTAATAGGTGAGAAGGATGCACTTGTTCTCTGTGAGTGTAACTGATCAGCTGACTTGAGATATTTAGCTTCTCCTCAGCAGTTGTAAGGTAAGAAGAATGATTAACTGAGACATTGTCTGTCAGTTACTTTTACTCAGTATCAAGGAGAGCAGATTCTCCTGACATCCTGTCCTGCTACACTATCATATGCAATTATTATACTACAACTATTTATCAGCCGAAGGACTGACGGAAAACTGATCACTTATGTATAGTATATTATGTATAGTTAAAAGACAGAGGCATTCATTTCAATGATCATAGATTAACATTCTGTTACAGGAATAATGAAATATTCGTTGAGACTCAAAGGTACACGGACCTATCTAAACATTCTGGATATGTCGGTTTATCCAGATCGGCTGCAAAACTTAATGTGTTCTTCTGGGGTTTATACCCTTCCTCTCCACAAAATTTCAATAAAATCAGTTTAGTTTTTGCATAATTGTGCAAACAAACAAAAGCAAATAAAAACACAACATCCTTTGCAGAGATAAATAGGATGAATGGCTTCTTGAAGGATAAGAAGAACGATATGGTCACAGCCTCCAGCCGGGAAATTGTACAGTAGCATGCAGATTAGAGTGAGGATACCTGACCAGAGCCAGAGGGTCCTAGCCAAGTTTGGACAAAAATTTTGAAATGTTTCGGCTTCAGTTTGGGTTCGGTCACATTGGCTGGACTATCAACTTGTTTTTTACTCTGCACATGGTTATAATCAGGCTCGGTTCAGGTTTGGATGCCTGTTGAGTCAGGTTCGGTTAGTTTGCTCTCAGGCTCGGACAGAAAATGTTGTCCTGAGCTGCACTCAAATACAGATCACTGATTAAAATGTTATGTCTTGCTTATTTAATCCCTAAGTGTAAACATGTCAGGACTAGCTATATTGCAGGCTTTAGTCTTGTTTCAATATTCAATAAAGAGATTGAAAAATAACAATATAAAGAATCACGTGTCACCTGTCCTGCAGCAGCCTAAAGGTTCATAAATGTTCCAATACAGCAGTGACCAGGCTGACATGATGACTCTGACCTCAGATGACATGAAACTATAATTTAAACAAGTCAAATTTCAGCACAACAGCACTTAACACTCATTGTTCACATACTGCATTGCGCTGATTAATGGAAACCAGCTTATGAAGACTGACGGACCACTGTTGGGTATTAAGTCAAGATTGTTCTGTTTTGTGTATCCAGATTGGCCACAAATGCGTGACTCCCACATGACCCTGATCACATGTGTATCGTGTAAGTACCCCCCATGCGCATGTTCCCCAGTTTGTCCAAACAAAGGGAGGATGGTGTTAATACACTCAGGAAATAAAACCCACTCTGTTTTCAAGCACATTCTTCTTATCGAACGTGGCTTAATGGGGTCCAACTTTCCATTACAAATCGCATTTCAGGTGAATTATATTAAATATCATTCTCGGCACACAGATGCACGCCTAGAGTTGCAAAAATATGATTCTTCTGGAATGATCTGAAAAGTGAAAAAAACCCAAAAGCAATTGGCTCAGTTTATGATTTATGCCAAATTGTCGTTCTCAGTTGAGGACAGTGCACTCCCCAATAACTGGACCTGCCGCTTTACATTATGAGTAAGAGTGAATCAGGCATGTATTGCTAACACAAGCACAGTTTGACTGCACTAATTATTTATGTTCTGACTAAACATATTGTGCAAAAAAAAAACATGAAACCAGCAAACTGAATCAAATATTCATCATGTGCACATTCGTGCCCGGAAAATGTTTTACTGGGTTGGGACACAGTGAAAAAACTCATAATCTCGCCTCAGACACATTTAGTGCAGATTTAATCCAAGTTCTTATGGTTTTACTGCAAAAGTCTCCTGATTGTAAAAGTCGTACGGTTCAGTAGTTTATCACAGTGTGATCAGCAGAGCTTCCAAAAATCTGATAAAGATCAACAATAAGTGAATGTAAAATATGTCACACACAAAAATCTGCTTCATAAATTCAACTAAGAAAACTATGCCAGTAATTAAAGACAAATGTTTTTCAATGTGAGCGCTAAGATTATAAAAACCAGCAACACAAATGCTACAAATTTTTCTCAATGCCAAAAAGGAGCATTGTGTGGAAGTGACATCCGGCAGCAGGAAACCTGCAAATTGTGCAGCAAATAACAAATAAATGACACATCAACATTGTTGAGATTTAGTCCCACAGTCACTAATGTCCTGACTCAAGTCTCATCCTGTCTCATGATTATTAGTCAGTAGCACTAGCTATCAAAGTGCTTGACCCACCCAGCTGCTGGAAGAGCAGAGCAACACTCTTGCATGTGACGGGCAGTGTGTCGTTCAGAGGTGTCTGGATGAGCTGCCGGTCTCCTGCTCCCAGGCTAAACAGCTTCTGTAAAGACAAACAAATGCAGCAAAGGTCAGAAAAGTTCTGTGGGCTGCCGGGCTATATCAATTAAATGAGAGACATGCTGGCAGGGCTGAATAAACCATCTAACTGATGCTGCTTCTCACTGAGCAAACGATCTTGACCGGTGCAACACACAGATGGCAGAAACCTCACCTTTAATATCTTGCATTTTGAAATATATATAAATATTTCAAAATGCAAAAGTCAAGTCAAGTTACAGGATTAAAATACAAAAACTAAAGAAAATATAAAAAATATCTATAAGAATAAATAGAAAATACAAAAAGCATAAAAACATCCTAAATATTACAGAATTAAATCATTGCACAGTGGCAGTTATTATGTAAATAGAGGTCTCAAACTCAACTGGAACTGAAAACCAATGAAAGGAAGTGGCTCTTAAGCAATGATTGAAACGTCTCTAGGGTCTGAGCAGTTCTGATACGAATAAATAAGCCGCTCCAGAGATTAGGGGGCAGTCCCGGCAAAGGCCTGGTCAGAAGCATCAGGTTCGCCCTCAGTGCTCAGGGATGAAGGTGCAACAGTTCAAATAAATGGTGCCAGCCCATTTGAATCTTTTTTTTTTTAAATCGATAAAACCTTAAAATTGATCCTGAATTTGAAAAGGAGACAGTGAACGGAGGCCAGTACTAATGTCACGTGATCACTCTTTTTTTCCAGTGGCTGGTAGAGTAGAAAATTAGAGGAAAAGTTCATCATTAAAGAGAAATATCTATTGATAACATTTCTGTTACTCTGCAGAGGTTCACCTTACAGGCGGATTTGAAGAATTGAGATTTTAAATGTGGTCTTCCAACAGAATAGTCCTCACATGAACAAGCAGATTTGACCTCGGTGATGAGGATTCCTCCACAGTTGTACTCGTGAACTAACATATTTGTGAGACATGCTCTGGCCCCGGGGCGCATGTAAAACAAACTCTCACTTGCTTGACAGTTTTTTTTTTGAAAGGTGTCAGTAAGTAAAATGTTGCCTGGTTCACTGGATTAACATCCTCACCTTCTGACACCAAACTGCAGCAAGAAAAACTTTTTTTGAATATATTCCTCCAAACTGCTATTAGCAGAGTTAAAGAGGTCGACGCTGTTATTGGTCCCAGGTCAGACAACAATCTCTGGCTTCATCTCAGCACAACACTCCTGATTGGCTGCACAGCAAACATAAATCATTTTAGTGGCTGCACCATCGAGGTTCAGCCATCATCTCAAGAAACAAGTCCAGCCCCTGGTCTGGTCTGCTTTAGTCAGGCCGGTAGCAGAAGTGTCTCTGCCTCAGGTGAGACTTACCTGGGATCCACCAGCAATGGGAACCTGGAATGTGAAGAGGTTGGCAACCAGACCCTCTAAAGGGAAATTCAGGCTGTCGATGTGGACGGTGTAGATCAGACCCAAGCAGCCCTGCAAGAGCAACAAGTGAAATATAAGTGAGACATGGACACATGCAGAGGATAACTACTCTTCATAGACATTAATATTGCAGCTCGTGGTTGATCATCATCTGCATTTATTTTATCTGGGCCATGAGACAAGAAGGGTTAGGTTTCATAGCTCAGTTTATTTAGCTCATTGTAACAGGGGAGCACTTATTACCTTAAATAGCATGACTGACTGTGAGTCTGTGATTAACTTTGGAATGTAAAAATCAGACAAACTTATAATGTCTCAAACTATTCTCATTCACTTTACTCAAGTGTGTGTAAAAAAAAAAAGAAAAGAATATTCCTTCAGGACCAGACAGAAAAATATTTTCAATCAAGATTTAATCACGTCGTGTCTTATTACCCGGAATATTTCGGGATAATCCAGCCTGGACACGAGGATGAGACTCTTTGGTGCAAACACTTGAGCTGGCTGGATCAGTCCATCGTCCTCTGCCTCCTCATCTTCATCTCCGTCAGCCTCAATACTCTTTGTTCCCTGAAATATCAAAAACAAGCACAAAAAAAAGATTTCAGTTGAAGAGTTCAACACTGAGGCATGGACTATAGACCTTGAACCGTTCTTTAGAGGAGATCAGCTGGATTCAGCTGGATTCTGATCGTTGGATTCAAGTCCGATAATTCTAGTTATTTAAAGTAAAAATGTATGGTTAATGTAAATGATTAAGTCTCAATTACATTTCTTTGTAATAAGAGTTTGACAACTTAATTTGACATCGTTTAAGAAATATGACGAATCATTTTTTTTTCTTTTACAGCCGACGTATTGGTATTAAATTTTTCTTAATATCCAATAACCAAAAATCTGTCGTGGTCTTGCATACTTGATTTAAAATCCAATTAAATCTGAATCAGTTAGGTAGTGGAAAAATTGGTTGTATTCCCCCAACATATCAATATCAACTTTGAACCAACATTCACAAAGTCAGGTTCCAAAAATTCCTAAAAATGCTCTTCTGTCTCCAGAGAGGAGAAATACTTTTATGAAAGTTTGGGCTATTAATTAATCTCATTTCTCAATCAGTCCCTTTACAGTTGCTGATCCCAGTTGACCTATTGAATGAACACAACATGTTTAATAAAAGTACTATGAGGTTAATGAAAGATCTCCCCTTGAAGAGGCAAAGTGCATTTGTTTAGAAAATGAATCGAATTGATTAATATTGGTTCCCTCAAACTAGTTATTAGAGGTCACAAGTTATCTTAAACCACTTCTACATGAATAAATACGTTTTGATGGATTAGCAACTTAAGTAATTGTAATTGTAGTAATAATGAGTGCAGTTAAAACAATTAAAAAAAAAATTTAACAGTTACAAAATTCACCCCAAATAAACTATATTTGTCACCGTCGAACATTTTATCTACCTCTACCCAAACAATTCTATATGGGCAGCAATCTGGTTCTCAATGTCACTACTGAGAATCCCTATGCTCTGTCAGAGCACTGATTCACCGACCTCTCCGCACTCATTCCAAACTAAAGCCCTTATCACAATCTGGTATATTTCTCCAGGCAGTGAAAACATGCTTCGGTATCTCAGGACTGAGGAGCACGGGATCAAAATATTTCATTCAGATGAAGGTCACATTTCCCCATTATTCCTAAGATTTGGTTCAATTATTAGACAAAATACATTCCTCTGCCGCCCGTCTGGACTCTCCCTGGAATCCGACTGCGCAGATAAGGATGTTGGTTTAGAGAGTAAAGACCAAACACCCTCACGTTTCAAGAAGCATCATCAGAATCCAGGGAGGTGTTTACCTTGCAGGAACAAGTTTGCATGAGGCCAAATATAGCCTCACCAAATTATTAACTGAAAAAAAAGTAAGGTGGAGCTGGATCAACTCCAATGGTTTATATTTATGTTATATAAGGTTTATACATATATTACAGTCTGTAGTGTGCCTAAAGTGGCCACGTGTCTTGGTCTAGTGTCATATTTTACGTAACTTTAGACATCATTTGTTTTTTCTATTTTAGAAACAAGTATCAAGGTTATAGAGGGTTAGGGTTTTATAAATATATTAGCCACAAATGAAACTTTGTATCAGGTTGCACTTTAACGATTGAAACTTGAAACTTGACCATGTGCCCTTAAAATAACAGTTAAATACTGCACCACTGAAATCAGACCAGATTTTTGTGGGTCAAAAGCAAAGTTACTTGCCCCTGCCTCAAGATAGCCATTTTAAGATCAGAATGCTTCTTAGTGTTCAGATGGTCACAACATGGGCACTGGATGGGAAAATGAGCTCTGCAGTCTGAAACTAACTTTGCACAACAGTCTGCTTCAATTGAAAGTATCGTTAAAGATAAGATAAGATAGACTTTATTCATCCCACATTGGGGAAATTTTGACATTACAGCAGTACAGTAGAGAAAAAATAATAAAAATAAAAAATAAGAATAAAAATATACATATATATATAGATATATATATCTTTATATATAGATATAAGGAAAAATGTAAACACTATACAAAGATACTAGAAATTCACAGTGTTATTTATTTAAGACCTTTTAATTAAATTTGACAACCCAAAAACTTCTGTTAAAGATTGAAGGGAGGGAAGAGAGGGACTGCTTTGTGAGAGCAAAGCTTAAATCCTCACACTCAGATCTGATCGACAAGTTGATGACTGTGATTTGAGTGAGGATCAATCAGTAAAATCAGTATTCTACAATTTGTAATTAAATAATTGCAGTAATTACTGTTGTGAAAGTAGCAACTTTACAGCTTACTCTGTCCTGAAGAGCTAATATAAACATTCAAAGTGGAGAATGTGTGATAAACAACAGTTTCAGGGCCTCACTAACAGCCTCACTAGTCCCCTGATAACAGTAAACAAAGACACAATTACAAAAACATTAGGCCCCATAATCAAATCTAAATCTGTTGTTAAGGACAAATTCTATGAACTCAACGGAGACAGAAAACAGACGGGGATGAAAGAATGAGGACGATACACTGGTCTAATATAAACACATTTTATACAACACAGGGACAGAGTCACCCACCAGTGACAAGCAATGGCAAGCAGAGTTATGGTGAGTGATTCTAATCCAATTTCTGTCACACTAACTCTAAACCGACCACCCTAACCTTAACCACCCAACTTTAGGGCCTAACCCTGACCCCTGGCCCTCAGGAGTCAGGAGTTTAAAACCCTGCTTTAGTCTACCCACTAAAATAACTCCTCAAGGTCATAGTGCCTTGGCCAACTAATCGTCCTAACCATTCAACCTAGATACCCAAACATACCCGTCTTGGTTTGGCAACCTAGAGGTCAGACGTGGAAAATCTTCCTTAAGAACAATACATATAGTCACCAAACAGAAAATCTAATGAACTGAATAAGTCATCCAATTAAGGATTTCCAATTTTAAAAAACCTGCTTAAAATCAAATAACAGGGGATACGGGATGAAGGGCTAATACCTGACAGGAGTGTCAGCCAGTGCATTATAACCCCTAAACCTTTTGATTCCCTCAACTGCCCATTCAATGGAAGAGGGAGTCTTCAAGATAATTTAATAACCCCTAAGATCTGAACCTAACCCTATCATAATCCCAAAGCTATCATAGCCCGTTCCCTTACGCCAAGGAGAAGAGGGCAGATGGAGCGAAGACAGCAAGAGATGGTAGATGTGGCACAGATACCACTGTCACCTTAGTTTGTCCGGTAACACTGAATACATCTGCTCAAAGACATGCTCAAGATTTCATATCTAGTTTGCCAGGTACGTGTGATGTTAGCTATAGCAGTGGGAGAGTTTTGAGTATCAGTGTCTGCAGCTGCTCTTCTGGCCACGGGAAACTGACTAATCCTCTCGGCATGTTAGCGTTGCGACAGTTTCCTGCCTTGTTGCATTTGTCCACACAGATCTTAGCCTCTAAGATCTGATTTGGCTTACAAAGTGATAAAAGTATTGCCTTCAACACAGTTAAAGATGTTTTAGATTGTGTTGTTGCCATGTCAACCTGCCTCCATGACTTTGGGGGGGAGCTTTTGTGGAGGAACACTGAAGGAAATCAAGTTTAATTATCAACAGTCTTTCTACAGAACCATTTACACCTATTAACTGGGCTATTTTTGGTTATTTTCTTCCCTTGATGTGGCAATTTTACGTAAATCAACCTCCCTGATGCTCTTGCACCAGTGTGGAAAAACGTGCCCAGTGGTTCCAACTAGAATGTTAGTGTAATTATGGCCTGATTTACACAACAATCAGAAACAGTGAAGTAACGAGAAAAGGAAGCGCTACTACACTGTTGAGTCTCAACATTCCACCAAAGTGACTCAGTTAATGAACGCTACCACATATTTTTTCGTAGAATTACTGCATTTTGGTCGAACTTACACCGATCTAACACGAATGTGACTGACGACTGCCTCCCACATGTGAGAGGATGTGAAGTCACAGTGGGCAGAGCGACCAGAGTCATTTAAGGCCTCTAACGATGTTGAGCACAATGAAACAATTAGCCTGGTATTCTGTAGGCTTTTGGCAGGGGGGAGAAATTAATGAGATCATTCATAAGTTCAAAAATGATCTCGTCCCAACAAACCTGTTGCAATCAATAATTTATGGGGGAGGTTTGAACATTTGTGCTGAAACCGCCAATCTGCAATCAAACAAAATCTTGTATGCATGAGTAAATCATATGAAAGGCAGCAGAGAAGAGCACTGGTCCATCTTCTCTTTTATAGCAGCATCCCTCGGCCAGCTCACAATTTATTAGACTGGATCCAAGCAGGATTTTGTTTTCTACCAATGCATCAAATTCTGGAAGACATCACACACGCGGCAGACATTCCTCAAAGTTACAAAAGTGCCAAAGACTTTAAAAAAAAACTACTAAAAAAACAATAAGCCTAAAATGGAAAACAGAATGAAAACAATCATGTTAGCCAACGAAGATGTCCCCTATGGTCTCTAAGAGTCGTGAGAGACACATGACGATGAAAGTGACCTCATGCTCATCATTGAGTCCCCAAGACTGAGGATTATCACAGTGATGAGCTTATGTGAGCCTTATAAGGAGGATGAGGATGAGGATGAGGATTATGTAATGCATAGATGTCTGATGGAATGACAAGTGATTCCACTCATCACAAGGCTAGCATGGTGGCAGAGTGGTTTGCACTGCTGCTTCACACCCCAAAAGATTCTGGGATAAGCTACATCTACTTGTGACCTTCAAAAAGATTGATTCATTAAAATCCATCAATACAACTATGGGCCTCAGTAGAGCTATTACCTCACAACAGTCCCTTTAAAATCAATCAAGATGCACCCAAATACACAAATTCCTAGATATCAGCCCCCTCTTTGCAATAAGAATGAATTATTTCCTGAGAAGAGTGTTGAAAAATGTCATTTCACAATGTTACAAAAAGTGAAAAAACAAAAATCCCTTTGTCTGGATGCACTGCCAAAATCAGGAGTTCTTCCTTGGTCCATGTTACATCTTTCCACCAGGTTTCCTAGAAATCCTTCTGGTAGATTTTGAGTAGTCCTGCAGACAAACAATTAAACCCTCTGACAAAAACAAAACCTCCTTGGGGAAGGAAATGAAAGGGCCCTCAAACAAAGATGTTAAAGGACATTTCAGCCCTAGCATGTGCCCACCCTTGAGCCTGTGCATGCATATTTGTGTGTGTGCACACATTGCAGTCGTACCTGCAGGTTGACCTCGGCCTCGTAGAAAGTGAGGCAGGAGCAGAAGTGTCGATCTGAATCGATGTCCGTCAGCACAACTGTGAAGAAGGTGGGCTGTTTCCGATCCCTGGACAGCCTCCAACCTCCAGGCTGGCAGAACTGAAAAGCGGTTCAATAAGATATCATTACATGAGCACAGCACAAACAACAATTCACACACACATTGTGGCATATTAAGTGTTTTCATGACTGAAGCAGCAAAAGAAATCTGCGCGACATCTCTAGAGATTTAAGCTGAGAGCTCACTTCAGAGACAAAAAGTTCAATGTGTTTGTGATGTTTTTAAGTTGTAATTAAGTTTTGGACACTCTTGGCTGGCGACTTATTAAAACCATAAATGGACAGGACAGCAGCATATTCCAGTAGGTAGTTTAATCCTAATACCCCCACAGAGAGCCGAGACAGGATGTCCTGTTTGAGTCCAGCAGTCACGTTTGTTCATCAGAGCGGGAAGTGGCATGTTCAGCATTCAGACCAACATGCACGTCAACTCTCTGATTATAAGAGGAAACAATTCCAATATAACGGAAAATGGAAAAATACAGGCAAATCCAGGAATTAGGTGAATACCAGCTGAATAATTTTTTTGTCAATTGGATTTTATAAGAAAATTAAAGTGAAGTCAAACATCTAAACATATCATTGTTTAAATCCCAACTAACTGGATTACAGATTTGGTCTGAGACTTGCTGGCTAAACTTTGGACACATATTGTATTTCTTCATGAGTAAGTAGAGTTCTTCCAAAATCCTCCTGGCATAACTTATTATTTATTTTTCCCAAACACCCTGTTTATTGAGGATTTGAGGATTCAACACAAATCAACAATTTTCGATGGATGTCGAAACCGAGCAATATTTTATCAAATTGTGGGCACAGACACACAGAGAGGCTGTCCTCATCATAAAAAGCATCTTTAACAGGTTTTCATGTCTCAAAGCAGCAGTGTGAGTCATCACCAGTCCTGACGAAAAACATCTGCGAGCGCTGAATAAAAACAAGTTTCTTCTGATAAAGTGTTTTGTTCCACATATAAAGTTTATCAGCAAAATAATTTTAGATAGAGATTTTAGTTATTTGAGAGATTGACAAATATGTTGCTTTCACATCAACAAACAATTCTACAAGTCATTAAAATGTATGAGCATGAAGCACCATGAAAAACTATCATGTCAAAGCAAAATAAATAAGCAATTTATTATGAAGGAATTGATAAATGATCATTTGAATGTGAGAGTGACAGAGGGCCAAAATAGAGTTGAGTGTTTGTGTCTGGTCTCTCTGTTTTTGCTGGAGGCCCAACTGGCCTGGCTCTGAAAACGGTGTTTAGACTGCTCCTCAGGGGTTACACAAGGGATTACTGGACACATGGAGGAAGAGGAGAGGGGCGGTTGAAGGAGGGGCGAGTGAGGGCAAAAACAGATGGATTGATGGACAGATGGATCTGTGTACAGCCAAAGAAAAATATACTGGCAAATAACATATCTGTGGCAGGAGGAGAAGAGAAGGAGGAGTAGAGACAGAGAGAGAGAGAGAAAAAGAGGGGTGGGGGTGGAGACGAGGACAGAGGAGGCGAGGAAATGGGGTAGGAAGGATTTGGCTTGTTCGACCTGGAGGATTGGACCAGGACGCCACCATCTTCCAGCAGATACAATGGCTCACAGGAAATCTGTTAAAGCTGCCTTGTATGTGTGTGTGTGTGTGTGTGTGTGTGTGTGTAACAGGCCTGACACAAGCCAAGGACAAGTGGGGATAAATGATCCTATAATAAACTATTCCAACTATGCCATTCATTGTTGTCAAAAAGAGATAAACACAATTGGGCCTGCATAGCTCAGAAGATCACAGCATATATATAGCATCCTGCAAGTGTGTGTGTGTGTGTGTGTGTGTGTGTGTGT